GGGGCGGCGGGTGCCCCCATGAGAGCAAAGAAAGAGATGGGCTGCGGCTGGGTGGAGGGAGGATTTTCAGGAGGGAAACTTCATCCTGGAGCGGGCAGCCGGCCCCGCTGCTTGCCGTAAGGACTGTGTCACAGGATGATCTCTGCTCTCGGCAGAACGGTGTTCACAGCTCACCAGCTGGAGGAGCTGGAGAAGGCTTTCAACGAAGCTCACTACCCCGACGTCTATGCCCGGGAGATGCTGGCCGTGAAGACAGAGCTGCCGGAGGCCAGGATACAGGTAGGGGGGTGCACGCTTTTTTTCCCTGTGGAGTCTGCGGGCTGCCCATGCCCGGCTGTCTCTTCTGCTCCATGGCCAGTGACCACAGGTGGTGGGAAAGCGGTGGCACTGAAATGCTGCAGGACACTTGGAGGGGGAGATTTAGCTTTCACCCTCTGGCACTGAACAGGATCCAAAAGAAAAAGCAGAACCGGGAGACCCAACTGGCCCCAGCACCTGCTCATTTCCAGCATCTCGGCTCTATCTTCCCGAGACCCAACTCAGGCAGGACCTGGGAGTGATTCAGGAGCTGCTGGGCCAAGCTGTGTCCCACTAAGTTGTCTTTTTGAGGGACACATGGCATTTTAGGGCCTGATCCTGCCCTGCTGTGGAGCAGCCCACTGGCTTAGGAATGGGGTGGTAGTTTGAGTAGCAGCCAGGTTGTGTCGATATTCCCTGAGCCTTCGAACAAAGGAAGGGGGTGGGGAAAGGGACCTGAGCACCCTCTCATCATTGGTCACTGCATGACGGACCCTGTTTTCTGGGGAGGTTGGTGTTCTGTGTGAAGGCAGTGGAGGGGCCTTGTGGGCAATAGGTGACTTTGGCTGGGATCACCCTCCTGTGTCACGATCAGCCTTGTGTAATGTGTGCTCCCTCTCCCCCCTTCCTACCCTCTCTCACTGACACCCACATGTGTGCCCTCCCTCAACCCCCCCTCTACACACTGCCCTGCGCACCCACATCCCGCACTCACCCACCCAAACCCCTCCACGCGCTCCCACGGCCGCCCCTTTGCCCTGGACGCATGCTCCTCCATGCCCAACGGGCCCTGAACGCCTGGCCGTGGTGGCCATCTCCTCCCCAATCCCACCCCTCCGTGCTCTCCTGGCTGTTACCCCTGAAGGTTTGGTTTCAGAACCGAAGAGCCAAGTGGCGGAAGCGGGAGAAGTGCTGGGGCCGGAGCAGCGTGATGGCCGAGTACGGCCTCTACGGGGCTATGGTGAGGCACTCCATCCCTCTGCCCGAGTCCATCATCAACTCTGCCAAGAGCGGGCTGGTGGGATCCTGCGCCCCATGGCTGCTTGGTAAGTGGGAATTTGGCGTGGGGAGGGGTCTGGAGAGCAGCAGTGGAGCAAACAGCCCTTCCTTTCTCATATGGCTGTCCTCACCTTTTCCCAGAAAAGAACAGGGCAACAGTGCTGCCAAGCACCCTGGCTTTTCCACTTCCTCTTTGCAAAGAGCAGCTGGGAAAGGGAAAGCCTTTTACTGCCAGGTCAGACGGGTGCCTGCATGCAATTAGGTATCGCTTTCTAGTGCCAGCAGCCAGCGTGGGAGTTGCAGGGCATCTAGGAAGTCATCACCCCCACCCAAAAATGAAACGATGTTAATGCTACCGCGGAGCTCCCTTCTGCTCATACACAGTCCTGCACTAAGGTGGCTCTTGAAATGCGGGCTGGGATGAGCTGTCACACCACCCCTCTCCCTGCTGCCAGCTCGGTATGCACTAATTCTGCTGCAAGACCTGTCTCTCTGCAGAGAGCAGGTGGCAGGGCTGTGGGTCAGGAAAGGCTGGTAGCTAGTGTGAGTTTTCCTCAGGATGCAAGCAAGAGCTGAAGGCAGCAGCAGGAGGACAGGAGGTGATGCTGAGTGATCCTGGGCAGAAATAAGCAACTGGTACCCTTGGCTTTCTCTCTCCTTTTTGCAAGGCATGCACAAAAAGTCCATGGAGGTGAGCAGGAAGATGGAGAGCCAAGAGAAGCTGGCAGATGGCTGGCGAGCGGAGCAGGAGGAGGAGGAAGTCAAAGGGAAGCAGGCCAGCTCCCAGAGGGGCTCTGACAAGATTGGCGCTGCAAAAGATTTGGAGGACACAGCCATTGACCTCTCCAGGACAGCCAAGCATGAGAAGAGGGGTGTACTGAGGCAGTGCATCAACGGGGATCCCTCCATGGAGCAGAAGGATGGGGACCACTGAGCTTGGGCTGCCTGAGAGGAGGCCAGACCTCACAGCTTCTTGGCAAGATAATAATATTTATTGATATATATTTTTTCCTTAAATAATTGAATTTTTATATGTATTCAGGGCATTTTAAAACTGGGCACACACATTCCTCTCGTCCCCTCACTTTCAAGCTCTTGACTTCTCAGCAGAGCCAGGGTGGAGGGTGGGAGAGGTATCCCAGTGGGGCCAAGAGCAGTGCAAAAATGAGACCACGCTGTGGTCAGTGTGGACTGCTGCTGGGGAAGAGCTGCCCTTCCCCTCTGGGCTGTGAATGCTTTCGTGGCCTGCCAGGAGCACGAAGAGCAGCAATGCAAAGGGAGTCACTCCTTTCTCGAAGGCGCAGGTGCAAAGATGGCTCAGGAGTTTACAGACCCCTTCTCAGAGCACTTCCACCCCTGCACAGCACTCATGTGGTAAGTCCCTCCGCTTTAAACATACAATTCTTCCACCTCAAGGAGCAGCAGGGTTTTAAACATGGTAGGGTTCATCCTCAAGCTGGTGTAACCTGACAGGCGTGCCAGTTTATACCTCCTGAGGGTCTGTCCTGCCAATGCAGCCTTATCACTGGATTTACACTGTGTAGCTTCCTTAACTTGTATTTGGGAGAAGGAGGTAAAGATATTTTTGTTTATGCAATGATTTTGTACGCTCTTGAATGTTATCTGCTACACTATGCATAATAGAACAGACCTTTTGAAAACCAAGCCATAGTACCCTGGAGCAATTAAACTATTTTGTGAATTGACGTAAGAAGATATTTTGTACTTGTCTGTAAAAAGCATTAATGTCAGAGCTGTTTCTTGGTCATCCTGTATTTATGTCTAAAAGCACTTTAGTGATCTGGATTTTTGAATGTGGCTCTTCCTGTTTTGTCCACCATTTATTTATTATACATACATAAATAAAATTGTGGTGTATCTTTTGCTTTCATGCTCTGCATTGACATTTGTACCTTCTTTGGGCACATCTCTTGGCCGTTACTAGCTTTGAGCAGAGACTCTGCAGACTTGTACCTAAACTGGGCTGGAGAGCTCTGCTGAGGCAGTGTAGTTGTTCCAAGGGGACAAAGAAAAAGCCTCACATTTCTCCCCAGAACTGAGGTCCAGTCCAGTGTTCTACACATGCCAGGATTGATTTGTGCTAATGAAAGAGCCAAACCACAGCTGATGGTTTAAGACGTGGCCTGAAACAGCACTCCCTCAGTTCCTGAGGGAAGTCACAGGGAGAAAGTTGCTTGTTCTCTCAAGAGTTGTTGGACATCCTCTATATGGCTTAAGTGGGAGGTTCTTCACTGAGATGGCTGCTGCCCTGATGGCAGGAAAGGTGCTCTGCTCTCAAGTCTCTGTGTGGTGCTCTCCTCCTGTTTTGGAAGGTGCAGAGTTGGGCCCTGTTTGTTTCTTGTGGTTAAACACAAGGAGAAGCTGCTCACTTGGGTTAGGTGAATGCATGGTGGGAGGTACTGCTGGGGCCACCTCTGCCTCCTGGGGAGGCACACAGAGCACCTGTGTGGTCCCAACTGCACAAGCACTCCCAGGGAGGCACAAGAGCATTGTGGGCAAATAACTGCCTGACTTCTGCCTGTGATGGGTCTTCATCTCTTGGCTGGGCTGAACTGGCCCACGCACACACTGTGACAGCTCTCCTGGAACACCTCCAGTTTCATCTGCTGGCCAAAACATAACAGAAAATTATCAAAAGGTTTTATTTAAATCTGAGTAATTCCAATTTGGAAAGTTTCCCAATACAGCTCAGGGGGTGTGCAGCCATGTAATGATGCTGTCACCTGTCCCTGCCTCTGCTGCTGGGCACATGCCGGGCAGGGGGAGAGCGATGGGACGCTGGCTGGGAAGAGCAGAGCAATATAAGTGGCATCTGCAGATTTCCTGCCTGTCCTCTTCTCTGCTCGGCCAGGCCTGAGGGGTGGGGATGAGCATATGCATGGCAAATACAAGCTTTGCAGAAAAAAAAAAACTTTAAATGTTGGCC